CAAATCTTTTTAAAATTACTGCATAGACATTATAGGAACATTAACAACAATACATTTATACTTTTTCATCATAGATACAAACATGTTCTCTTAGGTTGAAGAGAATATGTGCCTTTATTTTAGTTTAGCCTAGATGGCCTGTGTCCCGGAAACGCAGCGTGAACACTGTGATGAGAGAGCCCCTTTGGGGGTTGGAGTGGACAGATTTTCAGTGGCGCGGTCCTGGCCGGGGATCTTGTTTGAGGCATTTTCACACAGAGGAGGACGCCCCGGAGCCCTCTGCGTACTATCTATTCTGTTCTGGTTGCAGCCAACTGTTAGAATTCAGAATCAGAATGCTTTAAAATGCTTTGACACTAAAGAACTGATTTTGCAGTCCTTGCGGGCCCTAGAAGGAAAGGCTTTGCACATAAAATGATGGAGAGCAATGCTTCCCTGGCTCTTAGGCTGACGAAGGGTAAAACAAATGACGTGTGACTGACGACAGCTTGTGCCTGCCTGCCCACATGGCTGTTTGCAGCAGCAGCATGTCGTGGAGTTGTGTGGGCCTGTTACTGAGCTTGGGTCGGACTTGCATCTTGGTGAGAGCGAGCCTGCAGGTTTCTACTTTCAGTTAAAAGTGACTTCTTTGAGGACTAAAGTTGCTTACTGTCTTATTGTTGGTGACCTGATAGCTGAATGATACAACAGTGTCTGTAGTTATTTATTTTTTTAAATCGGACAAGTGGTAGTGTGTTTTTAATGCTGATATAAGTTACTAATTACTTTATAATTTAGTTCCCAAGTCCTTCTGTTTTATAGATTTTAAGGAAATGTTAAGCAGCTTGTTGAAATATGACCCATTTATGCTTAAATTACTGAAATCATTTTTTTGAATTCTTTTTCCCATGTTTAATTAGTTCATATCTGCTTTTTAAATTTTTTTGTTTTTCAATTACACTTGACATTCAATATTATTTTATATTAGTTTCGAGTGTAACTTATCTGCTTTTAACATAAGAAATTTTAAATTACATGATTAATACATGGATATATGCTTATAAAAATCTCAGCATATGCAGTAATAATTCAGGAAGTAGCGAAGGTCTGTGTCAGTCATCGGACTGCATTTAACAAAATCCGTTTACAACTGTCATAAATAAGGAAATAGTTAGGTTGGTATCCTCAGAAACCCAGGGCTCTGCCTGCCTTTCTTGAGGAATGTCTCAGCCTGGGGGCAGGTGCCGTCCAGACAGTGCCCATGTCCCTCTCTTCAGAGCGAGGCGACTGTGCATGACGTGTCCCTTCACATCTGAGTGTCTCCTAAGTCTACTCCTCGGCCATCCTCCTGTTAGGGTCCTGCCAGGCACTGATCCTGGCCAGAGGCAGGGATGATGGTGATGTCTGTGCATGGCCAGAGCTGCCTGTGGCCTGGGGGCCACAGAGTTCTCATGTCTCTGTGTGTCCTTGGTTCGTGGTGAGAACTGGCAGCATATTTATAGACCACACTTACAGGGAGAGGCATTTATGTTACTAGGATTGTGCTTTGAATTATTCTTATTAATTAAGAAAGAAATCTTAGTTGTTGTAATAGTCTGAGTTGACTCTTTTAATAGCTTGAGTCAGAAAAATGGACAGCAGTTTTCTGAATGGGGTTCTCTGAATGTGGGCACGTCAATCTTAGGCCTCTGCTTTCAGCAGCTATTTTCTACCCACCGAACCCTTTCTGGTGTTTCTTCTGCGGTTGTTGCCCTCGGGATTCAGATAAAAACATCCTGGAAGTTGTTGCTCTGTCTCATAGTTCAGACCTCAGAGCTCTAATGACTTTCTGTTAGGTTGTCGGAAAAGTCATGGCATATTTTGTCGTATGTTTTTCAAAGGTCATTTATTTATATAAAGAACAAAGATCAATCAATGATATATGGCCCGTTTTGTTCAATAACCTTTTGCCATCTTTCAGTGAGCTTCATAATTCCTCGTTCATTGAAGGACCTGTCTTTATTTGCGAAAAACTGAACAAGGTGCTGATTTACAGCCTCATCTGAATTGAACATTATACCATGCAAGGAGTTTTGAAGAGAGCGTAACAAGTGGAAGTCTGATGGCTCAAGGTCTGGCGAGTATGGTGGGTGTGGCAACACATCCCATCCAAGCTCCAATCATTTTTTTTTTTTTTTTTTTTTTTTTTAGCTGAGCCATCCCGCCACCTGTTGGCAGCTCACGGCTGCTCAGCTCGGGCTGACTCGAACCGCTGTTGCTCAGAGCTCAAACTCTTGAGCGAGCTCTTAACCAACTGAGCCACTCAGCCGGCCCCAAGCTCCAATCATTTTTGATGGGTGATCAAACTTGTGTGTGGTCTCGCGTTGTTGTGATGGGATACAACTTCTTTACGATTAACAAGCTCTGGACGTTTCTGGATGACGGATTCGTTCAAACTGTCTAGTTGCCGACAGTACACATTCGAATTGATTGTTTGGTTCCTTGGTAGGAGCTCGAAAAACACACCACCTTTAAAATCCCACTGCACTGAGAGCATAACCTTCCTCTGATGAATGTCTGCTTTCGATGTCATTTGAGGCGAATCATCACGTCGGGACCAAGACCGTTTGCACACCACATAGTTGTAAACAGTCCACTTCTCATAACCAGTTATCAGTTGCTTCAAAAAAGGATCGTTTTCCTCATGTTTAATGAGCATATTGCAGATGTTTATATGCGCCATCAAATGAACTTCTTTGAGTTCATGTGGAACTCAAATATCGAGCTTGCTTACGTATCCCAGCTTCTTCAGGTGGTGTGAACGCTTGAATGATGGATGTTCAATGTTTCTGCAATCTCTTGTGGCATGTAACGTAGGTTTGACTCGATCAATGCCTTTATTTTGTCGTCATCCACCTCGGTGGGCCTCCCTGACCAAGGCGCATCATTGAGATAAAAATCACCAGCACGGAATTTCGTGAACCATCGTTGGCACTGATGTTCTTGTAGAGCATTGTCACCATAAACTTTATGCAACTTTTCACAAGGTTGACACACGTTCTTCCCTTTATGGGAGTAAAACAGTAAAATATGGCAAAAATGCACAGTTTGGTTTTCCATCTTCAACTTGTTGTAAAATCTCCCAAACTCAACCAAATCGCTCAATTTTTTTTTAGAATGAAGCTAAAACTGTCAGCTGTCAAATGACATAGCAATAACATAGATGCGAATGACTCTAGAACTTGCAAAAATGAACTGGCGCCAACTGTTGCAAACATGCGTCATGATTTTTCTGAAGACCCAATGCTTAGTGGTTGGGCTATTTTGGGAAGCTACAAAGAATACGCTGTTAGTTTAATTACCTGTCATATAAGCTGATTTCATTCTTTTGGGGTTTTACACCTAAGCCCTTTCCTGTCTTTGCTTCAGGCTCTGGCTCTCTATTGCCCATTTTCAAAGGCAGCTCTAATTTTTATGATACTTGATGTAAAGATTTCAGAGTGTTACAATTAATAATAGCTATGTATTCTGAGAAAATCATGGTGGCTTTTCTTTATTCTCAATCGATGTAGAGCTTCAGTGGGTTAGAAGAATTGACCTTCAGAGGTAAAGTGGGATACTCGACTAGTTTGCCAGGGCTGTCAACAAAATGCCACACACCGGGCGGCTTAAACAGCAGAAACTTATTTTCCCATGGTTCTGGTGGCTGGAGGTCCAAGATCAGCGTGTGGCCAGGGTCGCTTCGGAGGGGTCCTTCCTTGGCACGTGGAGGGCTGTCTGCCTTTTGCTGGGTCCTCACAGGGTCTTCACACCCCAGGTGTCTTTCAGTGTCTCTCTTTACAAGGACACCAGTCAGGTTGGATCAGGGCCCCAGACCTTATCTCCAGATACAGTTTAACGTATGGATTTGGGGGCGTGGGCGGGGCACTATTCATAACAGGCACTGAGGTCCAGTGGTCACATGTTAATCCCAGTCAGATGACATCTTTGTCCTTGACAGATGTGCTAATAATATTTTTAAATGACATGTTTGGACACAAATTGAAGATTTATTCCATGATAGAATGGAAGAAAAACGGTTCCCTTATGGTCTCCAGTAGACAGGTTTTGTTGTGTAACAGGATTTCCTGTGGGAGATAGCTTAGGGCTAGCAGGCATTTCCGTTTGCTTCCCTGTGCACGTATGTTAATCGGGCACTGATGTGAGACAGAAAACCTAGTGAAAGGAGAAAGGTGCCGCGTCGCCAAGGGGAATGATTTTTATCCCTTAACCTTGGAACCTTTTAAAGAGGCAACAGAAATTGGTAGTCACAGATAAGCAGTCTAAGCTAACTAAAGATTTTCTTATTTTAATGATTTCTAAGCTGACTACCAAATAAATGAACATGATGGAAAATGATAAATGAAAACATAAACATTGTTTTTATTTTAGCAAACAAGTGTTTACCTGGTTCAGGCCTTGTTCAAGGTTCCATATTTGTGTTGATGCATCTCATCCTCACTCAGCCCTACTGGCGAGGTGTTCTTATTTCCCTTGTCACACGTGGACCTGTGAGGCATGGGGAGGGTAAACGTATCCTCCAGCTATTCATTCGGCTTGTAGGCTTCAGGCCTGTAGGCTTCAGGCCGTGAGGCTGAGACCGGGCGTGCCCCCCCGCTGCTCCATAGGTGCCGCTCAGCTGCCCAGAGACATCCTTGCTCTCAGCAGTGACTGGATGTCCTTATGGGGTTCGAAGGAGGTTTGTGTTTGTTTTTCTAGGTTCATGATAGCAAAATAAACAAATGTGTCAAGGGCCCCCTTGAATTTCCAATGTTTTCTTTAAGATGGGTATAAAAACAATTTGGAAAATGGTTTTTCTTAAAGTTGGAGGATCCTCTGAATATAAGAATTTGAGTCACCTGTGTTAAAAAGGTTCTTTTTAGCTGAAGTATAATACGGTTATGCTATCATTTTATGAGAGCTAAATGGATTTTTCAGTTCTGCTGAAGCGACGATGAAAGAGCTGAGTGTGCAGTGTCGGGTCAGAACACATGGACTCGCTCGCTAGCTGTGTGCTCTCAACACCTTGACTCAGACCTCACCTGCCTTCTCTGAAATGGGTGGTGTTTGTTCTGCCTCCTGGGAGCTACTGTGAGGTCTAGTGAGAGACTGCTTGGCAGGCGTGTCATGTGGGCTGTGCGTGGAGAGCGTCCTGTGTATTTTAGCTTCCACTGGCATTTATTTGCATGCGTATGAGTTTGTTTTGGTGAGGGAGTTCACGTGCACTTCTCCGCGTTTCTGCCTGGAATTTTCTGGCTGTGCCCTTGAAGTTGAAAGCAGCGGCTATGATACAGACTCAGGAGCGAAGCTGGGTGGGGAGAGCCTGCGCCATCTCTCACCCTTTCCCGACCCTCGTTCTCCTCGTGGGGAAATCACACCTGCCTCATGGAGGTACCCTGAGGGTCAGGTTGGAGCATGTATGCTCGGTGCCAGGTTTCCTAGAGACCACTCGTTTAAAAGTAAGAGACAATCTTGTTTTTTTATATCATTTTACTAAGTCTAAAATTGTCTAAAATTACCAATTTAATAAAATATAGAGCCCATTTGGCCTCTATTTACCTAAAAGTGTCATAACTGGATTTCTCTTTACTCTGTTGCAGGTGCCGGAGATCAGAATTTATTCACTTCTATTTACCCGACGCTTTCCCAGCAGCTTCCGAGAGAACCTATGGAATGGAGAAGGTACGGAGTGTTTGCTTTTGGCTGTTCTCCTGTTTCCTTTTTCACCCGTTTCTGTGAGCAAGCGAAGTGGTAAAGTGAAGGCCTAAGTTCTGCAGTGTGTTGTGGAGAAGCAGAGGGGTGTCCACAGAACCCTCGCGCGGCCTGATTCTTTAAGGAGCATGCTGACTTTCTGCACGCGACGCAGGGTGGTAGAAACAAGGCAGCTCTTCTGAGCCACAGGCCTGCTTTGATGGCCATGACCTCTGACTCTTCAGGCTGACTCACCAGAATGTCTTAAAGGTCCAGGCACGTGGGCAGGAGACGCACACTCACTTGGATCCCACGGTAAAGGCGAGGACATGGCCTTGACCTGCGGTCTGACCAAGTCCTCCTGCACCCTGCGTCCTTCCGCCTGCTTTCTGGAGGATTTTGATTTGTTAATACAGATAATCTGATTTTAACCAAGGTGGATAAAAAGTTTCCTGTTGCTTATGCTCGAGTAATCCTGATCCTTGTCCACTGTTCCTTTCAGACCTCCAATTTGTGTCCCATGAGAATTAGTGTGGCTTCTTGGGGGTGACCCACTCGGGCTCTCTGTTGAATCTAGTGTAATTTTTGAGCCCGATTGTCATGTTACAGGAATGTATTTAATTACTAACATTTAATATAAATAGTGTTACACAAAGTGAGAGAATTCTCTTGCAGAAAAATTGCTCAACCTTTGAGGAGGCCCAATGCTGTGAACAAGAGAAGACAGTTCAGCAAATGGAGGAATTTAATGCCTGAAGAAATGAAGTAACCTGAAGAGGATTTCAAATAAGCATACATTATTTAAACATTCGGAAAGATAAAAGAAACAAAGTGTGTCCATGAAACAAGAAAGGGTGTTATGAGGAAAAGAGTGAAACAGAAAAACTACATAGATTCAGTATCTGTTTTCATCTCTTCACCTTCCTGAAACCTCCCTAAATGAGAAAAAGGCCCAAAGAGGTCCAAATGCACAAGGACAGAGGAAGGGGGTGGAGGCGATGGTGGCAGAGAGATGCGGGCACCTTGTTGGTAGAAGCAAGAAAGATGGAGGGATTGGGAGAGAGAGCTGAGCCCCGTGTGCCTGCAGAGGTGGCTCCCTGAGGAGCAGGTGACTCCCTGGCAGGTGACACGGCCCTGGACCTTGGTAGGCGAGGACCAGACCAGGCTGGAGAGGGCCTGGTGGCTGAGGACACGTCCGGGAGCCGTTAGATGCAGGGCCCCCTTTGCTCTAGTGTATGCATGCGATATATGTGTGTGTGTGTGTGTGTGTGTGTGTGTGTGTGAGAGAGAGAGAGAGAGAGAGAGAGAGAGAGAGAGAGAGAGAGAGGGAGGTGTGTGTGTGTGTGTGTGTGTGTGTGTGTGTAGCGACCAGAGAGAGAGAGAGAGAGAGAGAGAGAGAGAGGTGTGTGTGAAGCGACCGCTGTTGTCTGCCCTGCGGGAACCTGGGGCCTCTTTCTGGGGACAGTGAGGTTCCAGAGCCTTGCATGTGAGGCACCACAGGCAGCAGGGAGAAGTGCCACTCTGAAACCAGCAGGTCTGGATCTGAACAGTGTACAGCGCAGGTCCAGGTACTCTGTGCTACACCCATGTTCCCCAGGCGGAAGTAGAGATTCATCTCGGGACAGCCCGGGGCCCCAGGGACATGACCTACCACCTCCCTTCTCCAGGAAACGCGGGAGGATGAGCTTCATCAGATTTAGGACCTGGATGCCTCCCTGCGTAGAGCAGGAGGACCGTGGGCTCCTGAGCAATGTCGCCAGGAGGAGGGCCTGGTAGGGTGCCTGGTGCCTGGCTGTGTGGGAGCACTCAGCCCACAGCTCTGTTGGAGAGCTTCGGGAGGTTTAAAAATGGTGACACTGAGCTATGAAAATGAGAAGTGCCACGAAGAACAAAAGTGACACTAGAAAGCGACTGTAACCGGAGGGCGTTACTCGGCTCGCTAGTGAGCAGCCTCCTGCGTGTAATCGTAAGGGAAAGGTGGACTATGGATACCCTAACCATGACAGCTGCTGAGAGGGGCGGGAGAGCAGTAAGGTGGACAGACAGACCGAATCTGCATCTCCCAGGTCACAGACAGTAGAAGAGTGTGTCTAAAATGAAAGCACTTGGGGAGAGGTTGTGGGCTGAATTGTGGCCCCCAAAGAATGGGCCCATCTGGAACCTGTGAGGGGTACCTCATTTGGAATAGGGGTCTTTGCAGATCCAGTCAAGTTAAGGATCTCAGGATGAGGCCCTCCTGGATTAGGGTGGGCCTCAATCCAATGCCAAGTGTCCTTAGAAGACACGTGAGGAGGGAGGCAGAGGTTGGAGTGATGCGTCCATAGCCAAAGAATGCCAAGGCTTGCCAGAGGGTGGGAGAGGCAAGGAGCAAACTCTGCCTCAACTCCCGGGGAGCCAACCATGCCAACACCTTGATTTTGAATTTCTGGCCCTTGAACTGTAAGAGAACGTGGTTTTAAACCCCTGGGTTTGTGGGAATGGTTATAGTAGCTGTAGGGGACCAATACATGGGGAGGTAGAGAAGGATGGGACGCACCTGCTCATGGAGTGCGTGTGTGTGAAGACTATCACTTGGATAAAAATTTTAAATTAATTGATTAGATCTTGGTGATAAAAAAAATTGAGGCAGAAACTTCACTTGGTGCAGTGAACAGCTGTATAGCTGAAGAGCAAATTAGTGAGTTGGAAGACGGAGCTTAGAGATGCTGGAGTTGAATGCTAAGAGCTGGAGTTGGAAAGCATGGAAGAAAAGCTGAGACATGGAGCACAGACCCAGAAGTTCCAGTATCCTCAAACAGCTGTTTCCAGGAGAGACCAGAGAAAATGGAAGACAGGCAGTATTTGAAATGTCAAGATTTTCCCAGAGGTGAATCAGAGATCTCAGGAGCCTGCTGGGGTCAAGCAGAATGGAAGCGAAACAGCCAACAGAAAGCCACGCTGAGGAAACGGAGACAAGGAGAATCATATTTGCAGTCTCTCAGCATTTAAAATGCAGCATTGGATAGAGGATTCAGGAAGAGTCTTCTCAGATGATTGAGGAAAAAGAGTCTCGTGCAAGGGGGGAGACTGTATCAGAGTCGTCCGCCGCAGGCCCTGACCAAGAGAGTGCTGGGGGACCTTGGCCCTGGGGGGGGGGGCGGCTGGGGCCCAGGATAGCCAGGGGCCCTGATCTGTCACTTCTGGCTGCACAAAGCCACATTTGAATGTTCTGTTTACTGCTTGCCATGACATGGAGACAGTTGGGAAACAGTGCAGTAAATAATAACTTTTTTAGACACATGTGATAAGATATTACCATCCTGTCTGAAATAATTAAAGGATGTATCTCAACAAGAAGAGAAATGGAACCAGAATTCACAAGACAAAAGAAGCGGCTGCCAGCAAGCAAGTCATAAGCAACATTTTGCTAAAGTTAAGGAAGCCTTTTAAAAATTAGAAAATGTGAAATGCCAGATGTGTGGAAGAAAGCAGAGAGAAGAAAATCTACTGTCTTTCTTGTCTTGTTCAAGAAGGATGCACGTTAACTTTAGACTTCGAAAGAAAATTTAAGTTTATGCATATTATGAATAAAAATGTAACCAACCTCAGATAGAACTAGACGGTTAAACTTCCAAACCAGCAAAGGAAAAGAATGGAAAAAGAAAGCGTGATTAATCTCATGAAGGACAGGAAAAAGTAGCCTGCAAGTAGGACATAGACAAGTTCAGGTGTGAGCACGGTCACGTTCAACGTGACCGATGTCAGCTCATTAAACACGGACACTCCTGAAATGGAGACACAGCTGCGAGGTGGGAAGTGAGGTGTGGAGAAGAGACCCGCTAGGTGTGGTTTATTTTTACAAGCAGAGCAGAGCTGCGTCCATACCCTCGGGCAGCCTGAGATTGGGTGTTTGTGGCTGGTGGGACTTCTCTCGTGTTCTTTCCTCTGGGGTTGAGGGAAGGGGGGGGTGTTACCACTGTTTTATTTGTGTTCTGCAAACAAAATCCTGTTCCCTTTCACCAGAAAGTCCCCTTTTTGGATAATACAGGGTGTCACAAAAGCGTTAGTGCACTTTACAGCTTTCATAGTTTCAAACCGTGCTTTTGGCCTCTGGGAAACTGCTTTTATAGTGACTTCCAGGCTGAGTTACACCCAGGTCTGTTTTCCTCAGAAGCCTGGATTTTTGCAGATTGCCCTGGTTAGAGAGAATATTCCTGTGTATGTACTGGTGAGTGAAAGGAAGGGTTTTATGGAGGCAACTTTGACATGTAAATGTGAACTGTGTTTAATGTAATTTATAGAATCTTTCTGGACAGGCTATTACAGTTATGGTTCAGGGTTAGTATTCTGTTTGTACTTCTGAACTCATGGAAATAATTTGTTGCGTTTTTGTTTTTTTTTCTTCCCTCTTTCTGCTGAACATTTTGTAGTTGTTTTTCTCAGTGACTTTTTACAATTGTTTGTAGGTCCTACGGCCGGGCTCCAAAGATGATTCACCTAGAATCCAACTTTGTTCAGTTCAAAGAGGAGCTGCTGCCCAAGGAGGGAAACAAAGCCCTGCTGACGTTCCCCTTCCTCCACGTCTATTGGACAGAGTGCTGCGTAAGTACTCATCCGGGGGAGTGACGGTGGCACGGCTCGGGATAGGGGTCAGGGTTCACGGGCCTGGGTGTGTGAAGACAGCTGAAACTTTCCAAATCGACTTTTCAATGTGCTCTTTACTTTGGTGTTCTCGTTCCTCCATTCCTCAGCCAAAAGTGTGGCTTTGCCGCCTGATCTGCCCTGAGCCAGTGTGTTGCATTGATGCGGACCCCCAATAAGTCTCCCTCCCTGGGCTCCGACTTCTTGGGAGCCGTGTCACTGCGCCCCAGGGTTCCACCAGCATTAGCTGGTCTTTAGCTTCGTTTTCCTGAGCTCCGGTGCTCAGCAGCACGGAAGTTCCTCCATAACCCTTGTTTGACTCTCTGGTCCGTAGACCTGCAGGCACAGACCGTTTGTCTTCCTCACCAGCATCACGGTGTCCTCGTAGGGGCCTCGTGACTGCCCAGCCGGCGAGCGAAGCTCCTGCCCTGGGCACGTGGCACTCCCTCCCTGCATTCGTGTATTCGTGAATCAACACAGTTCATCTGTCAGGAGCGAACAGAAATTCTGCGGGTCATTGCTTCCTGTCCATTTTGACTCTAATCAGACAGACATTCAGCAGTCTTCAGCATCTGTACGTCGTTGCCTGTTATGACAGCGTAGCCTGCATCCGAGGATGCGGAAGTGGTGTAATTTGAATGAGAAAGGACTCCAGGCTCACACCTGGTTCCTCTGGGCTTCATCCTGCGCACCTTCTGCCTTTGCCCAGCAAGGCATGTGACAGGCAGCACGTGTGAGGGGTTGTCTGCAGGGAGCTCGTCAGAAATGGGCTGGTCCTCTGGCACCTCTGCCCTGCACGTCCCCAAGTCCCAGACTCCCAGAGGGAGAGCAGGTGCCAGCACAGCTGTCGTGTCTGGGAGCAGTTCAGGCCCCGGGAGGCTCCCATCATGGGGTGGTGGAAACCCTCCCGAGGTAAACTTCCCCAGTGCAGCCAAAGGCCAGCCTCAGGCAGGCCTGGAGAGGGCCGCCCCCAGCCTGGTACCTTCTCCCTCCAGCCGCTCAGCGTCCTGTTGGAGCTGCTTCGTGGGCAGGGAGCTGCCCTGTTGCTCCATGCCGCAGCCCTGCTTTCCCCTCGGGACTAAGCCGTCCCCTGGGGGCCCCCTCCCGGCCACTGGAGCAGCCTCCTCCTCATCCAACCCCCAGCCTGCAGAAGGGTTGCAAGCACCCCTCCCCCAGAGTTACCAGCCAGCGTCCTCCAGGAAAGCGCCTGTGCAGGTTTTTGTGTAGTGCGCCCGTCAGTCAGCCTCACCTGCCGATGCTCGGGCTGTCCCAGATCTGGCGAGTGGGAGTCCTGCAGACTGGCTCCTGTGTCCTCTGAGTGTTTCTAACCTCTGCCGGCCTTGTCCTGGCGTCAGCCATCCCCACCAACTGCTGCCCCCTTTGTCACTGCGGAGTGCCACTGCCCCTACGCGCTTTCTGTAGGCAGAGCTCAGACAGCACATGGCTACAGATGTGGGCTGAACTCACACCTCCGATTTCAGCTGACCCCACAGCACTCTTTTCGGCCTGCGCCCGTTTCATGTTTGTATCTACCTTGACTCTGATGCCATCAGCACATCTGCTTACGGGCTCAGCCGTGCACTGCGCATGAAATACTCTCAGGATCACTACCCCTACTACAGCGAGGAGCAAACCTCCTAGAAGAGTTCAGCGATTGCAGTTCCCAGGTTCCTGGACCGACCCACGGGACATGTTTGCATCTGCTCGGCCGGGCCTCCTGCACGGCCTGGCTGTGTTTTTCTAGTCGCTCTTGCCAATTCGGTTTTCCATGTAAACTTCAGTATCACATTGCTTATTAGCTCCTGACAGAAGCTGTTAGGTATTTTTATTGGGACCACACGAAGTTTATAAATCGTCACGTGCAGATCTCACACCTTGATGTTGAGACGTTCTAACACAGAATAGGTGTCTTCTCACGTGTGGAGGTCGGCTTCTGCGTCTTTCAGAAGTGTCTCGTACGTCACTGGAGATTTGAACCAGTTTTTGTGAAATTTACTTCTGAGTATTTTACTTTGTTGTTGCTGTTGTAACGGGGTGTCTCTCCCATTGCATCTCCTAGTTGGTTGTCTTTTGTGTAGATGAAGGCTGTTGATTTTTTTGTGTTAACCTTGTTGAATTCTTTTATTGTTTGAGTTGGTTTTATCATGGATTCTCCAAGCCCCACTACGGTTTTCCAGGTCTCCTATCATTTCATCTGCAAATAGAGGTGGTCTTACTTCTTCTTATGCCTCAAATTGTTTTCTCTGTTGTGAGACATTGTTAAATGGCAGTGGAGATAGTGGGCATCTTTGCCCATCCCTGACCTTGGTGGGAACGCCTGTAGTGGTTCCTGGTTAAGTAAGATTCTGGCTGTACAATTAAGGCAAACTTTCGTGAGCGTGTGAAGGAAGTGGCATCCATACCTCTTCTCTCAGGGTTTTTATTAGGAATACATTGTTGGATTTTTTTAAGGGGTTTTCAGACTCGGTGGAGATAATCATATGATTTTTTCTGTTTAGATCTAATATGTTGAGTTATATTAATGGGTTTCTTATTATTGAGCCATACTTGCATTCTGGTATAAATCCCACTCGGTCAAAGTATTAGTTTCTTAACGTGGTTTTGGTGTCCATTTTATTTATGATTTTTGCATCTTTATGCGTAAGTGATTGGTCTATAACTTTTTTTGCGCTGTCTTTATCTGGTGTGGGTATCAACGTTATACTTGATTCATAAAAAGAATTTGGAAATGTTTTCTTCATTTTTTATTTCCGAAACAATTTATGTAGCAGGTGTCTGAGGCTTGATGGAATTCTCTTGTGAAACCACCTGGGCCTGGTACTTCTTGTAGGATGGTTCCTTGATCACTTTCTGTATCCCTGCCCTGGAAATTGGTCTTTTAAGCCATTTGTCCACTTTGATAAACTATTTTTCTTAGAAATGATATATTTCAGTTAAGTTTTAAGATTTATTTTCATTGAGGTGTGTGGTCTTCTTTTGACTTTTATTATTTATTTATTATTATTTTTTAGCTGAGCCATCCTGCCACCTGTTGGCAGCTCAGCGGCAGTTCAGCACAGGCTGGGAATCGAACCACTGTTGCTCAGAGCTTGCACTCTTGAGCGAGCTCTTAACCAACTGAGCCACTCGATCGGCCCTCTTTTCTTTTAAAATATGCTCTGTGTCAATAGGTATTTGCCCTTTGTTATTTCTTATTTTGAGTATTTGTATTTTCTCCCTTTCTTCCTTGGTTAAATTAGCTAGTAGTTTGTTGATTCTTCCCACCAGAGAACCACGGTTTTTATTCATTAACTTGATACACTCTTCATGTGTTTTCTATTAATTTAATTTCTGCTTTCATTTTTATTCTTTTCTTCCTTTGTTTCTTTTAGTTTCCGCTGTTCTTTTTCTAGTTTTTTTTTTGAGAATGCATTTATTTTCATTCATTACATTTTTATTGATATAAGTCTTAAAAGATGTGGCTTTAAATATATCCCAGTGTTCTATCATTATTTTTCAGAAATTCTCTATTTTCTGATTGTGTTGTCCCTTTCACCCAACAGAAAGCTGTTTTAATTTACAGAAAGTTTAAAAGATTTTCATTTTTAAATTTCTGATTTTATTGCATTATGATCAGAGTGTTGTTTATAATATTCTGCTTTATGGAACTTATTTTTTTCTCTACTGGCCTTGTCCTGGCGTCAGCTGTCCCCACCAAGCGCTGCTTCTAATAAATGATCAGTTTTTGTGGATGTTCCACATGTGTTTGAGAATGTAGTTTCTCTGTTTCCCGATTATAATGTTAAGTATGTATTCATAAGAGCTGTCTTACTGATTATGTCGGTGAGGTCATTTATATCAGTGTTTTGCTGCTTGTCCCATCTGTGCCTGACGGTGGCATGTTAAAGCCCTCCCTCAGAGATGTGTTCTCTATTTCTCTTGCGTCTTCTATAGTTTCTGTTCTGTGTAGGTGGTTTGGTGTATTATTTAGTGCGTAGGTATTTGTAACTAGTACAATTTTTATGGAACCATGTGTCATTTAAAACATGGTCCCTGAGTAGTGTATCACGTTTGGGAAGGCCTCGATTATCTGAAGGTAACTGATTTTCTCCTATATTTTCTTTTAATAATTTTACAATTTGTGTTTTATATTTTGATCTGTATAGCTTCAAGTAATTTTTGTGTATGGTAGGAGCCGTGAGGATTTGGGGCCCAATTTTGTAGTCTAAATTGGAAGCAAATTGTCCTAACACCATTTCATAATTGTCTTTTTCTCACGTATTGAAAATGTGTACAGTATTTTAAACCCATACCCTGTGTGCACAGTATTCTGGACACTTCCATTCTGATCATTGATCTGTGCTAGGATCAGACTTTTAACTATTACACTTTTGTAATATGTATTGATACCTGTTGTTTTAAAATATAGCTCTTGGCTTTCATGCATTTTCTCTTCCGTAGGAATTTTAGAATCAGACTGTTAGGTGTACAAATTTTATTTTCCAAAAATGGATGGACCAGTATATGCCAGCTCTCAGCTCTTGTGTGCATGGCAGGGACATTCCTCCATGAGAGGCCAGGTCTGTGTTTCTTCTTGTTGAATCTGGGTGGCCTTGGACTGGCAGAAGGGACACTGTGACTTTTGAGACTGAGTTATAACAGGTAATATATCTCCTGCCTGTTCTCTTAAGATGGCTTGCTTTAGAGCCCAGCCCCCACTCTGTGAGGAATTCAAGTGGCCCTTTGGGAAGGCCACCTGGGGGTGTGCAGCCCCAGCGGCAACCCATCCTGGCTGACATGCCAGTGTCTGCCAGCACACATGCCCTTGCTCCAGCCTTCAACCCCCACAGCTGACACCAGGGGGCGCAGACAAGCCGTCCACCGAACCTCTGGGTTGCTAGATACAGTTTTGTGGACATTTTAAATGAGTGTTCTTTTTTTCCTTACAATTATATTTTCTAATAGGGAGCCCGTGTTTTTCT